GATGTAAACATCATTACTACAAAAAAAATATAAAGGACTTTCTTTATACTTAATTTTGTATAAAAGATTATTGGTTCCAATAATCCTGTGTAAAATTCTTGTTTAGAACAATTGCAACTTGGCACATTTTGTAATTCTAAAAGGCATTTCAAATATAATTTTCCATTCATTTTCACAAAAGACTAAATAATTTTTTTTGTCCATTTTTCGATACTTGTGGGCTTTGATTTGTTTTTATTTAATATATTATAGAAAGGCTCCATTCATGTCTGATATAATATCTTTAAAGTATAGCGGTATATCTGGGCCAATGCTTTTCTGTGGGATGTTAGAGATTATATTATATTTATTTAAAAATTGCTTTAATGATAAAAATCATACCATTGAAAATTAAGATATTAGATTTAACATTGTATCTATAAATAATTTTATTATAAGATAAGAATTTTCCATCAGATGCTATTAGGTGTTCTATGTTATAAACACCAGCATCGAACCTCGATTTTAAATATACGCTTTTTGAACCAATTAATTTGTTATTGTTATAAAATAAAGGATGTTTTCCGAAATAATGATTTTCAATTGGAATCAATTCTATATATCTTGACAAGGCTGTAAAGGTGTCCCCCCAAAAAAGATTGTTTCGTTTGCAAGTTTATCAAAGTAATATAATAAAATAATTTTGCATATCTATTTTGTCGTAAGGAATATGTTTCCAAGAAGCATTTGAGATAATTCTTTTAAACCAAGTTATTCTTAATGCCTAGATAAATGCAAAAATATTTATCATCTGCAAGCTGCCCTCAGCATAGTTTTCTTTTACAATAACGGAAGACTTATTTTTTACATTTCCGTGCCAAATAAAGACATAAAACATTTTATTTAATACACTGATTACATCTTCAGAAGTGTTTGGTATTGAAATGAATAATTTAGAAATGAAACCAAAAGAGATTTTATAACAGCAATTTTACCTATTGGTGCGAGAATTCTTCTTTTCCAATTTCGAATAAAAATCTGGAAACAAAGTGATCCCTCGGAAGCATTAATCACAACAAAATGACAAGAGAATTGCAGACTCGTTTTGATAGAGTCTGTACATGAGGCAATTTGTATATGTGCAACATCCCTCACGCCTCCGAGCACCGGCTTGAGCGGAACTCAATTCTCAACACTTAATAGTGTTGGCACCCATGATCCCGAAGGACCAGAAAAATATAACATATAACGTACATAAAATCATTAAATTTTATCTTCATGTTAACAATTGAATGATCTGAATGATAGCTTATCTCAATATAAATATTTTCTACATGAGGAAAAATTGTTTCAGTTACTAGGAACAAATCAAGGCGTGCTTGTTGAAGTGGTGTCGGTTTACGCCATGTGTATCTGTTCAGATTTAGAAAGAAATCTCTGAATGGATCAAAAAGATTTCTCTGATCAATATTTTGTAATATAAAATTTCTAGCTTTACTATTATTTACAATTTTTTAGTTGTAATAATCTTTTCAGGATCTATAACTTAAAGTCGCCACACACGATATAAGAATCGTTTCCTATTCTGTCAATGATATCAAACAGTTCACTGTAAAAAAATGGTTAAAGATTTATAAGGGTTATTCTTTTGTCCTCAATAGTTAAGTCTAAAACAATAAAGTTTCCTTTGTTATCAATATGTTTGCTATCAATATTTTTATTAAAAATAATTGCAGCTCCCCGTGAATTGGATGTCCCTTGACTCAGGAAACGTTCACTATTCCATTCACAGTATATATCCATGATTATTTACAAGTGTTTCTTTGGTTGACTGATTTGATTCTTTAACGCTTGCAATTACCTTTAGGTTGTCGTTGTATTAATACATGCCAAATATCAGTATACTCTCTTGGTTTTCTGACAATGCCATCATCCTGTCTTGTCATTCATTAACGGATAATTATTTATTTGAAAGAGGTAATACGACTTTAGTGGTCTCAGGGTGAACTGTGATTGAATAATTGATGACCTTTAGCAATTTTTGCTTGCCTGGCATTATCATGTTTCTTAAGAAGTCTCATGGGGTCCTGCATCGATGAACTACGTAACAACGATAATCACGGATTACAATTTAATTTCATAAATACATAATCGGGAAAATTACCATGAAAATATAAAAAATCAGTACAATGCATGCGAGTTTGTACGTGGACCGAAAAACCAAAATATAGAATGATTTGTTTGGAATGACTGATATATATCAAAATCATAATTATAGTAGTTTCCTATATATTACATTAACATTTCGAAGGATTTATTTGCCAGCTAGTTCCTGTACTAAAAGAAACAAACATTTATCATTTTGCTTTATCGGCAACACTAGATTTGTCTTAACCTTTTACCGCATGAGCATTTTGTGAAAAATGGCCGTTTTTATTGAAAGCCTCTTGTTACAAGTTCAAACTGCTATAAAACTATGAAAAATGCTTCAATACTGATTATGAAACTTGGCATCAGTATTGACTGGACCATAGCTTTTGTAACAACATGCTAATTCTTAAATTTTCTGTTACCATGGCAAAGGGGGGACGTCTCAAAATTGCCAAAAACAATATTTTGCATTGAGTTTTCCAATCAAAACTGAGATAAAAGTGCTGCAACCTCTTAATGAATTGAGGTAGAGTAAAAGGCTTTTCAGCGTTAGTTACAAGTTACCTTAAAATCAACCAGTTTTAGCCTGTCACCTGTATAAAATTGTCTTGGCGATGGAGGGGGGGGAGGGGTGCTACTGCCCCCTTCGAACCCCCAAACAGAAGGGGGCACACCCTCCTTCTGGCACCCCCTTTATGAACCTTTTTTGATAAAGGACGGCGCCAAAAATGTGATCACCTTTTTAACGACATTTCTCAAACGAAAAACAGTATTTGCGTCCTAAATAGAACATTTTGTCACTCATTGAGGCCTCGAACATAATATTACTTTTTTTTCTAATTGCAAGTTACTTATTTTATTGTTTTAAGTGATATTTAGTTAGAGTCACATTATTACACATTATAAAAACTATGCTTGTATACCATTCTTATTTATATATCGTTAGAAAGATTTGATTAAAGTAAGGAACTATGAGGTGCGAATTAACACTTAAAATCAGTTTTGATAAATATTTGTCCTTTAACAGGACTCGACACATTAAACTGTTTTACATTTAAATTGCCAAGATGCTTAAAGCTGCTCAAAATAAGTGTGTCGGTATGTCAGACATTAAAATCTAGCTCCAGCAGTCTAGTATTGACATTTTGTCAATAGATGGCTTAAGAAATATGATAACGTACAATTTGCTGACGTCCGACTTCACCGGTTTAGTGAGTTAGTGAGTTATTATTAAGGAGATTTATCTTATCAAGCGAGAATCATATGCTTAGAGAAGCCAAATTTATTGAAAATTAACCTTGATAGTACATATACAAGTTTGATTAACTCATGTGATAAGCTGAAATATTAACTTTAGTCAGATGCTGGATATAAATAAATTAACAATGAAAGTGTGTATAATGCAATAAAAAGAAGTCACTTGAGCTTTGTATGGTTAAAAACCTTTCAAAAGGTGTTTGCTCAGAACGTAAACTATTATACAGTTTTTAAAAGTTTAACGCTGGAACATTATTCCGTTCTGTAAAAAAGCATACATAATTTTGAAATGACCTTTTTGGTTATTCAATGTATTTTATTATATTAGTTTTCATAAAAAAATTATTTGCCTTTGATTAAAACCACTTTTATACTTATTAAGAAATTTCTATGAAAATCGAATCGGATTTTTTCCAGCTTTTAAAATTTAATTTTTTAAGTTAAGTTTTAAGTTCTTCAAATTTAGACAGAAAGTCATCAAAGGACGAATTTTATGGTTTTCTAAGGGAAAAAATGAAATTCCCAAAACGATAATGTTGGAAATAAATCTAATTTGAATTTCGGACAATTTAAAAAACAAACATTTTTGATAAGAAAAAGAAATAGCATACAATGAAATCAATCAGTTCGAATTAACCTTAAATCTATCATGTGAAATTATTTTTAAGTGCTAAAATCAAGTATAAATGGTAGAAATGTTTGCCACAATTCTAGTGCTGCAAAGATGGCTGTATATATTGAAAATTTAACTTGAAACAGAAAATAATTTTTGCAGCATTTTTGTAAACGATGTCAGACATAACTTGCCATGTGGATAAAATCTAATTATTAAAAGTTTGGGGTCCGTCTGGGCTTCTTGCCACTGGCTCTTGTTGCTGGGTCATGTGGGGGTTGGGTTCATTGAACGCCGCCTTTCCTTGTTGATCTTTTTTATCATATTTTAATTTGAAGTTTTGAGATTTAAAACTTACATTTACACAAAATAACAATGTTGTCTGTTAATTTAAATGTAAAATGTATACATGATTTTCCGATGACTGTTCATATTGAACTTGAAGCAGTAAATAACTTTTGCAACAGAAATAACTTGCCGTGTTGGTAAACTCTAGATATTAACGTCTGAATTTGACGTTTTGAGATTTAAGAATTGCATGTACATAAAATAACAATATTGTCTGTTAATTTAAAAGTAAAATGTATACAAACGCACTATGTTGGTTTTGTCGTGATACGGCTCATTTTCATAATAAAATAACATCACGTAGTGTATAATTATCTCAGAATGACTAATTATTTTAATGTCTTTGTTGAAAATGAAAAGAAATGGTAACACTATCTGCAGTTGTTATTGTCTGATGAACTAATTATTTTAAAATTTATTAGTTTTCCAAAACTATGATATAGTACATGTTGACTGATTATCTATAATAATGAGGGGCAATAAATTGGTCTATATTGAAATACGAATTTTCGTAATAAGGTTTGAGAGAACAAAAAATTTACATGTTTGGCGAAACACATCGCCTATATTCGAATTACTAGTTAATGAATTAAGTTTATATGTTTTATTGCCGGGGTGTCAAGTAATTTGTCATTTTTTTTATTAATTTCAGCCAAACTTGACAACGTGAAAACCTATATGTCATTGCGGCGTGTACCACTCCGACTCCAAGACCGTGTGATCAAATGGTTTGACTATTTATGGATGTGTAATAAATCGACCGACGAAGAGAAAACACTCAGCTTACTTCCTGATAAATTGAAAGCAGAAATAGCTATTCATGTGCATTTGGATACATTAAAACGTGTTGAAATTTTCCAACAAACAGAGGCAGGTTTCCTTTGCGAACTCGTTTTGCGGCTAAATCCTGTTTTATTTTCACCTGGGGATTACATATGCAGGAAAGGTAAATGCTAATTCATTTTGATTTTTTCAATTTTAAGAAGTCATGCATTTAATATATCACAATTATTAGTTTTTTTTTTAAATCTCATTGGAAAGGAATGCCATTCGGTCTAATAATATAACGGAGACACAATTATACCGAGATATAAAAAAACTCGTTATGTTACTTTATCTATTTAATATTGCAAAACAGAAACAAAATAAAAATATTTTTAATGGTATCAACCTCATTGAATGAGTATCAAACTGTTTATAACTCGGCAACATATATTGGTCCATTGCCTCTCCCTAATAAATCACTTTAGAACGAGATAAATGCTATTTATTTGCTAGTAACTATTTGCAAAATGTCCTTCAAATTTATTTTAACGAACGTGTCTTATTTTAGTAATTAAGTTAATCTTGTTGGTTTTTACAATTTAAGTAACTATTCAACTTGGTTTAAAGACACCTCTGGACAATCAAATCATTTGTTTGAAAGTAAATATAACTATGACCTTTCAAGTTTTCGTGATCTTCTTAACGTTCCTATGGTAACATGTTCAATCTATCTTGGTCTATTATCAATTCCATTGAATCATAAACATATTCTCCCAACTGTTTATGACATTTGTTTACACGCAATAGAAGTGGAAATTTATGTCAATACATTTATATATAGGTCCAGGAAATAAAACTGCAAATCAATTCCAAAGCCTATAGCGTATGGTTGTGACAATATAATTTACATAACATTAGTCTAAGAATGTTATGATATCGTCAAATAACAGATTCCCTGTTTAACATAACCATTCCATGGAACAATTAAATTGGTAATTGGTATTGTTGTTCGTATTTCGAGACATTCGATGCATTTTCTTTGTAGTTTTACTACGGAACATGCATAGAATGATATGCCGATAGGCGAAATAATAATACCATATCTGTGTTCCCTAAACTTATTTAAAGATATGAGAAATAAATTACCAAAGACAGCATGGTAACGGCTAGTTACCAGTGGTATTTATTGTGTGTCATGATCAAGTTAGCGTATTTATACCAAATTTGTATTTAGTTAATGACAGTCTTTCTTTTCTTGTTTCCTTCATCTTAAATATATTATATAACTTACACCAGTATCTCAATTAATATACTTTAGCTATGCTAAAGTGTAATATTAGAAACTGGCAAGTTGAAAGGATGGAAATGTTGAATAGTGTTTCTAATGGCAAATTTAATTGACATATAATTAAACTGACATAAATAAGGTGTGAAGTTAATCAAGCAGTTATCATATTAGAAACTTTTGCCGTTTCTTCTTAGCTTCTCGTATGAGCTGGAGCATGTTTCAGTGCTCCAACGTATAGCTATCATTTCTGTTCTGTCTATAATTTTAAGTTGATCTATCTTTTCCTTTTACAAACTTGGAACAACAAAACGCTGGAAAGTGAAGACCTTTTGAAAATCTGAAGCAAACCATTAACAAACATGTTTTCAAACATGATGGAAATTCATCAAAATCATTTATGGGTGAAAAGGGTTAAGCACGGTATTAAAAACAAATGTTTGACATTGCAATTCTATCTTTTCAAATAGTTGTCTTATCATGTCAATGCATTCATGTTAAAAAAACATAACATACAATGGGAAAATGTTATAAACGCAAAACACATTTTTAGACATGTTTTGCACGAGGTGTCATTTTTACACATGTTATTAAAATATTATTATATTTTTGTCTAAGTAAAAAGTTTATAACAGGAAACAGTTATGCATGTATATTGTTATAACAAAAGAATATCATTACGCAACAAAAAACTAAAAACAATCAATCAGTTGTCTTACTTATATAAACTGGGGAACGTAATACAGAATGATATACAAAACATGATAAATGATTTAGGAGACCACTTACCATTTAATTGAAATATAATTATAGTGTAGAGTTATATATGAACGCTTTCCTTTGTTCAAGAATGGTAATTACTAATGCGAATGACCAAAACTTTTCACATCAGTTATTGTCCAGACATTAAACTGTTCATACACATTTTTCAGTAAGATGAATGCATCAATGATTTTAATAATATTTCTATATTAAGGCCAAAAGTCGTTATATGCGTCGACGGGATGTATCTGTCTGTCGTACTTAGATATATTGCTTTGGATAAAGTTGCTGTTTGTGTATTTATCTTACATTTAATTTGTTTTCCAAACATATTTTAACTAGACTGTTGTTTATCCTGGTATTTCATTATCTCCGGAATTTCTCTTCTCAATCTCGATTGGCGACAACCCAATATCTTATAACACACATCGAAACGCGGTCACCTATGTCATTTCATAAAGCGATATTGCCTTAAGTTTATAATTATTGATCACATATATTAGTAATATTAAAAAAACTATGCATCAGTCATAGACATTTTTCATTACATGATGTAAGAGTGATTATGTTCCTGTTTTAGGCGAGGTTGGGAAAGAAATGTATATTGTAAACAGAGGTAGACTTCACGTGGTTGGCGACAATGGCAAAACAGTTCTGGCAACCCTGAAACCTGGAAGCTACTTCGGTGAAATCAGTATTCTGAACATGGGTACTTCCGGAAATAGGCGAACAGCTTCGGTTCGTTCCGTTGGTTATTCTGACTTGTTTCGTTTATCAAAACAAGATCTCTGGGACGTGTTAAAAGAATATCCTGCAGCTCGGGTCAAGCTGGAAGCTATAGCCGTAATGCGTCTGAAAAAGACTGAGAAGAAGCCAATAGAAACAGGTATCATTAGGCGATTTGGAAAGAAAATATACATATTGACTTCAAATTTCCAAATATTTTATGCAATCTTCTTTCTTATCACCTTTAGCTTTTATCTGTAAACTAATCTGATAGATATCCTAAAATTTGAAGTACTGTTTAAAGATCTACTATGCTCATTCTTGCGAAAAATGTTTTAATCACAAAAATGTATTGAAATATATGAAATTCTGACTAAATATGTCTAATTTGAATAAGAGAAGACATAAACTGTGTATGGAAAGCTTCGTACCCTATTACAGCACAAGTTAAGTTGGTATTTTCTTTACAAAACTGCCAACTCTTTTTAATGACACTATATATTCATATTGTGACAACCTATAGTGTGTAGAACTTTTAACACAACATATTTACTTTGTGTGAAATCAAAACATGATTGTTTTATATTTACAAAGAGACCGTGTAGCAATTATCAATATTTTCTAATATTAAATTTGGATATAGTATATAGTACATAGTATATAAAATATCAGTGGAACGTTTGACCAAGTATTAAATGCGCTTCTGCAGTTTACTCGTGCATTTTCACAGTATGATATCAAAATGCGGATACAGCAAAAATATCAGGTTACCTATGAAGAAATAAAGTCAAAGTTTTTTTCTTGTCCTATGAATATAAAATGTATTTATTATTCCATTTATTAGATAAAGAAAGAATGAAAATGGTAACATACATTAAAATACTTATATATAGCTTTGTTTGTTTCGCTTTTAGTTGTAATGACATTTTGTTATCTAATAAAATTTCTCTCACTTATTTCAGTTGATTTAAAACGTAGCAAAAGTACACCTGGTTTAGTAGAGTCGTCTGGCAAGATTCCGATGCAGACGAGATCTATAACACGCCACCACACACTTCCGGCTGGTCTTCCAACTCATAGGTCTTCCATAGATCCTCAACAATTACCTTCCCATGAGGGATATCCGGCCACTTCAACTGAAGCTCAAACTTCCGAAGAACATTCTCACGCAATTCAGCCATCTGACCAACAACAAACTGATCATCAGGAAACTCAAATTAGAACTGTTTCTAGCGTAACTTCATTTTTAACGGGATCACCTTTAGTTACTTCCCCTGTTCCAGTAGATAACCAGGCGCCAATGTTCCATTTTAGTCCGCCGCTCACACCAGGCCCTCCGATGCAGTACGCATCACCATATCATATTCAAACTAATCCTAATATTGTTGGTAATATTTGTGCCCCTGGTTCGGAATTTATACCACGTGATGTGTCTCATGACTATGGTATTCGCGCACCTGCTCAATTTCCACAAGGATATTATCCTTACACTCATTATACACAACCGATTGCTTCAACTGGTGTTAACACTGCAAACTCTCAACAACCTATGGCATTCTTGTCTCCGTTTTGTGCCTCATCAGGATTTGTTCCACCAATATCACCAAACTCTTTTCATTCACGCACTGGCATTCCGTCCGCCAGTCCAACACAGCCAAATTCAAACGGTACAACTCGAAGAGGATCTGCGCATCAGACAGTGGATGGCCAAGTGCCGAACAGTTCCGTACAATTGTTCAACGATGCTTCTCATGACACGTTAGTAGAAGAAATAACCCGTCTCAGGGAAAGACTGAAATCTGTTGAATCTGAAAACGTTGTGATGGCGGCAAAATTGAATCAGCAACAGTGGGAACTCGAACATAGGTTATCAGAGTTAGAAATGCAGATGACATGTACCAGTGATATGGCAAGCACGGGTAGTACCGATGATCCCTCAAATCCTTTTGAAAATATCAGCAGAGAATCAATTATTTAAGAATAACATTTTACATATAAATATTGAATTATTTTTAAATCGATACGTTTAAGGCATATCAACATAAAATGTGCAAAGCCAGTACCACTCCGTTAAAGTATGGTGTAGTATCATTATTCTTTCTGACACCAAATGTCACATGTTGTTATTAAGTCTAAGATGAATATCAGTACTTAAAATTAGTTTGTCGTAAACGTGTCTGATTAGATGGGAATTATAACAGCACACCATTTAGCAATAAACTTCTTATCGTATACTTTTTGTCGGGACAAACGTTAAAAAGCAAACAGTATACTGTCATATGTTGAGTGCTAACACTTTTCATGTAGTGTTTGTTTTACTACAATTTAATTATTTCTGATTTCTTTTTATTTCAAACTTTGCAAAACCGAAAAGTTCACCTTTCCTTGTTGATTTCGTTTATCATAATTTTTTTGCAAAACCTAATTCTTTAAAGATTGAAGACAACATAATTATGATTTGTTTCTTAAAGAAATGTTTTTTTTTTCAAATATTTTACGTCATTTGTCCACTGGAAAGTTACGAAACACTTGTTTTGGTAAGAAATTAATTGACGTCGTTTGGTTTTTAAAAACCGAAACGATGATCATTTTTGATATACGGGTATATTCACTGGCGGGGATAGTGCTAGGACCTAGATCCTCATCTCTAAGACTCTAAACGTAATTGCTATGTTGTATGATCATTACTCACATACAAATCACTTTGTTCTCAAACTTGAAATTTAAAACATTGGCATATGTTTCACAGTGTCGATTTAACAAACGCAACTTGTATATACATAATTGAATTTCAAATTCGGTAGACATGTAGAATAAACAGGTTGTGACGTATAGAAGCATATTGTATGATGACATGATTATTCATAATTTATGATATATGTTACTTTTGATTTATATGTTTATATTTAAAAAAAATCAACTCATTCCGAAGTTATTATATCACATTCCATTGTTTGATAAATAATAACTCTTTTATGTGCTGCACATGACACTCAGTTCTGAGAGAAATCGGCTGACGCCATCAGTTCATGAAACATACATGTACGTAAATTTTGTCAGAAGTGTATTTCCTACTTGTTTGCCTAATCACTTCGCTTAAGAAGTTTTAAGTTTTGTATTAATTTAATGTACTTAAGGCATAAAAGGTGGTTACATATCGTTTTCTGTTGCCTAATAGCAAGTTAGCAAATCGATATATTTTATTATAATATTTTATAAAGTAATGAATGTCTGATATAATCAAAACCTAAAGATATACACTTGTAGCAAATTATTACAAGATAATTATAGACTTCCATTAAAAATTTATTAGGTTTAGAAAAATCATTTATTTGTGAATTTAAAAGTCAATTAAATAACTAATTAGAAAATGGATTATGTTAATTCAGAAAGTCTGATACATACATATTTATATGTCGGGAACTTTTATGTTTGAAGCATCATCATGAGAATTGTACTTGAACTAGAAAGATCGGAATATTGTTTTTACTGCAGAAAGCTTATACATTGTATAGTTGACTCTTTTTTGTCGTAAATAAGCAATCATGCCACTGTTAATTTCATGTTAACTGCTGAAATAATTGTTTTAGAATGTAGTTATGTTATATTTTACCAATAGAAAAAAACCCTTCTGACGGACCTGTTAAACTTGATTATTGTTTTTTGATTTTTAATCGTCACAGTTGTTAGCCATAATTATCCTTATCATCAACTTTTCAGTTTTAATCTATATTTTAAGAAATTCATTATTTTATAACCATTTTGCTTAGAGTTCTTCCTTAATTGCGATTACATTTTCAAATGCCTGTTTCCTTATGAAATGTGTTGTTACTGATTCTACCATCACTAACCTTCTTATTTTAAGATTATAAATATGAGGAGATGCCATTTTCTACATTTTTTAAAAGAAACTGATATAATTATCTAAATTCGTAATTGCACAATAACCATCAGAAGTAAATACCATTTTTGTTAGCGATTTAGAACAACTAAGATGATTATTATCCTCGAAAACTGCGCTGAAATAGTAAATAAAAATAGTCACCAAGAAGCAAAACGCAACGGAAATTGTATTATAGGTGCTACTCAATCATTTGAGATTTAAAAAAGGCTAAAAGCAAAATTTGTTTAAGCCATAATGCAAACGACGAATCAGTAGCAGAATAAAACATACTAAACTTGAAAAATAATTTTTAGTAGTGTTGGGAATAATTGGGCTTCTAGATATAATTTGTGATATATCCAACAGGCAATATAATTGCGCTAGCATAACGCTATAAATAAGCGTAAACCTTCGGGTTTTATAGTTTATTCATTTGATTTAATAATCAATTTTTCAACACGTGCGGTATCGAAGAACCAATTTTGAAATGTTATACATGTAGTCACAGTTCTGCAATAACATTGATATTGAGTTCAAATCATCATAGGTATACTTTTTGATATATCCAACAGGCAATATAATTGCATATAAATATATTTCACGTTTAAGCAATAATTGCCATTATATGTAAGCAATAATGCCATTATATTCTAATTAACCAGTGAAATTGGCATCAGGAAAACGAATGTGTTGATTATTGCGATTGATAAGCTTAACATTATTTGTGTTGAAGCAATTTTGACACATGAAAATTAAGTAAACAAAAAATGAACATATAGGATTAACCTGCTACACATCATGTTATAATAATTTATTCTTGTTAAATATTATTTGTACGTTTTTTTTACTTTATATTCAGGAATATCTATGTTGCTTACCTTATGATAGGCACTCGTGTATATTCTTATCATAAAACTACAATACCATTCCGTCTATTGTAAAATCCAACTTCTGTCATAATTACACCCTTCCATTGTTATGTTTTATTGACATATTTTTTATTATTGCAATATGTTTTTATTTCTTGTATTTTATCATTTTTCTTGCCCTTGGCATATTGAGATAACATTAAGATAATGAATTGTTATTTGTTTATTCTTAATATCTTTTTTTCTTTCATTATATAATATTGACAGCATTTTGATTATATATCAATTATTATATAAAAATATTCTGTAAATACTAGTATTTTATTATTGCATATGATATGTTATCAGATGATATATTATCTAGTTAATAAACAAAGCGACATTGCACTTGCTCTGTTATGACTTTATGTGTTAATACGTCTTCATAATGTTTGATACCTAACAAATTTGACAAATATTTCGGGTGAAGTTGTTTTTTGACCAATTTACACAATGAAAACATATTTATAAACATATAACTACCGACAATACTGCATCCAATCAATAGTGTACTCATGCCGTTTAGATTATGACAAGACCATAAGGTTTTCTTACAGAAGATAAAAACACGAAATCAAGAACTGAGACATAATGATTTTATAAATTGATTCCAACTGATCGTATCATTTACGAACTTGTGGACATACTAATCACTTTCGTTCCTTGAGACAGTATCAATCAAAGTTTTGTCGAGTTTATTGTCCTAATAACTAGAGGTCAAAATACAAAACCAGGCAACTAAAATAAACAAAAAACATCAACAAAAAAGGAAAAAAGAATTTGCCACTAAAGGCTTTGAATTTGTGTCGATATGAGTACTCGTGCATTGTATAAAAAAGAATAATGCTGCAGAATAATTATTTGTATTAAAAGAACTAAATATTGACAATCTGTTAGTTCGGTACAGTATAATCCGCACTGTTCAACCATGTTAGTTTTGAATCAATCGGTCCATCGAGACCCGCTTTATATAGATCTTGAGTTAATAGAAACAATTCTTCTTATTTCTAGCGCTTTTCCTTGGTAAATATATATATATATATATATATATATATACATAGCGAGATAAGTACGGATACTACAATTGATTGTTTGTTGTTTTCAGACCCGGTGGACTCGAAAGGAAATCCAATAAAAATGTCATCTACAGAAACAGTTGTGTTAGCTAATCGACAAATCAATCATCTGGCCATAGTGCATCAGAACTATTATTTCTTTAGAATAATAGCGTACATTCTTTAAAATTATCTACCAAAATTTGTGTTTAACAAAGTGTTTAGCATGAAATATGATTTTTATTTGCAGCGCTTTCTCGACATATCACAGGCATCCATTCCGTCGTCAGTCATTTACATGAAATGTCTGAGTATAGATTAAATAATTGGTCTGCTTTGTTAATATAAAGGTTATATGAGTCGCACGTTGAAACAATAAAGCCAAGACTTGTACCTGTCTTCTTAAATGCTTAAGTTCGTGTCTGTTTCACTAGAGGCTCTGCATTTCATCATATAAACGAATACTTTGCGACTTATAAAAGCCCTGTAGATGCAGGTTTTTGACTTACAGACAATAATTATTGATAACTTTTAACCTTTGAACAATAATGAAATGACGTACCTTACAAGTAAATAGATAGTAACTTCAACGACTGTAACATTGCTTACAAATCTATTTACTATATTTCAGTCAGTGTTTATTGTATTGAAGATGCAAAGACATTTTCTTTAAATAAACATGCATAAAATTGTATTTAGCGACGTACCATTTAAGAGAGATACATAAAGACCAACTGTAGAAGGGACTTGTGAAGTGTCCAAGAAGGAAACAAGCAGTTGTTATTCATAGTACTTGAATAATTCATAAACATTTGTTTTAATTTCTAAATCGCTTATAAATGTTTGTTTTAAAAGGAATGAATTCATTGAATTAATCTAATGCTAAACATTCAACATGAGTGCATTTTCAGGAGTTTAAATAATCTAAGCATTTCAAAATACTAGCTTAAGATTTCCATATCGTGTAAAAACAGTTATCAGAAAAACAGTCAAATTTCCATTCATTTGCAATTCATATCTAAAGATTAAAGCCTATATATATATTTCAACTGAATAAGAAAGTAGTGCATAATGTGAACACATTTGTCATAAAAGTAGCAAAATGTAAACAAAGTAGTATTTTGACTTTCATACAAAATACGAAAAAACTGCACTTATTGTCAGAAAGCAACAGAAAAAACAATATATTTCAGATAAATGGCCATTGAGTAACTTTTCGGAAACTTTGAACTACAAAAACAACAACAACAAAAAAACAAAAAAAACCAAAAAAACTTTGAGACATGAAATTTAAAGCATTTCTGTGGCAAGGTGGGGTTTTAAGGGAAAAAAAAACAACACTTTTTAATGACTTAAAGACAGCTGTTATTATTTAACATATTCTGAGCACATAATTCATACTAGTGTTAAGTCAATTTTCACGCAGGTTTATCGCAGATGACTTTATCGTGACATGCTGATATAATTTCTGGAATTTTTTAAGATGTTTTGTCTCATTGTAATTTGGCAGCAGCGTTTAAAAGTCACGGATTCGAGAGTGTTTCAATAAGCTTACAGCTTCCAACACAATCTAACTAAAATTTTGTATAAACTAAAGTCATTGTTTCAAAGCGGGTCATGCCGGACCCGAAAAAGAAAACAAGACAAAAGAACAAAACTAAACCCCAAAAAAACATGTTGCGTGCGATTATAATATTTTTATTGAATTCAAGCTTTTACCGGCAAAGCATTCAAACAAGTTAAACACTGAGATACAATAACCTGGAAATATATCTGTTTACAAAAGGCATGAGCTGTTTAAGGATGGTACCACTTCATCATTGCCAATCACTGATTGAAACACAGTTAGCTAAGCAGTTGCTAGATATTAACAGACAGTGAACTGTGCGATGTATTGCAGGCCAGATATCTTTCTATTATTATACAGTATAGTGCATTTTACAGACGATCCAAATATGGCAACACATACGACCAGAGCTAATGCTTACTTCGAGAGAAACAACTTTACACTAGACTTTGAGGTTTTTCCAGTTCCGTCCATAAACAGGCTCAATCAAACCGAGCCTGCAACATTTTACAATTTTGCTGTGTTGGGCTTTCTTTAGGGGTTCTGTTTTCTCTATAATTTAAGAAACGTAAGAATGACCCAGCTTTTTGAAGTACTACATAATACTGTTGTTCAATGTTTCGTGTAAACGTTATTGATCAATATGTGTATACATTATATTTGAGCTTAATGTCAGCCATGTGTCGACTTATCAGACAAATAGTTAGGTGATTCATGGTTTTCCCAAATAATCGTCAAAACGAGATATCACAAGAAACATTAACAGTAAGTCGTGAATATATTGTTGTGAACGGATAGTGGGATGGGGCAGTAGTCTTAATTTTTTAGGTGCTATTAAAAATCCTGTAACTCAATTTTTTTTACGGTTTTATATCATAGATATAATGCTCAAATGAAGATATATCCCTAAAAGCATTATTTGTAAAGATATTACCGGTAACCGTATTTACATTTCATGTAAATGAACGGAGGTTATTATAAATTTATGTTCGATAAAGTCTTAGCCAAGTTTTTCAAAAAGAAATAAATGAATATATTTTAATGATTTTATGTAATGTGGACAAATATTTGCAGGTCATATTTTACATATTCTTCGATGTTTAGAGATTGTTTTATAAGCATAATTATAGAAATATATAAAACTTCACTTAAGTGTGATAACAATCTCAATTACAACATACATGATCTTTAAAGTTACTGCTCTAACAATCAATGGAACAAACGAGTGTATGGAATATTTATAATTACTTATAATGCGTATAAACATTTGCAGTACATATTTAACATATTATTGGATGTTTGAAAATTATTTTAGAAGAATAATTATATACATATATAAAAGTTCACTTAAGTGTTGTTACATACTTAGTTACAACATACAGGATCTTTAAATGTATCTCATTGTAGTTTCCATTTGCATAAAAAGCTAAAAAAAACGTATGCAAATGTTTCATAAGAAACAGACCTATTAAAGACGAGTTCTGGAGGGTTCTTGTGAAGTGCTTAATATGTTAAAAAAAGATAATAAAAAATTAACAATTCACCTATGAAACGTTTTTCAATGCTTTTGGTAACGGAATTACCCATAAATATTATTTTTGATAATATCACAGAATAAATTATCAAAATATAATACCACACTTTCCATTCAAGACACTGCTTTTTCCCATGTGACACATTTTATTTCTTTTCTCCAGCAAACAATCCATCTATTTAGACATAATTAGAATAGACCTGTTTAAAGCAAACCAATGCCGAAAGTGATGAATAACGTAAGTTACAATTCGTAATCAAATACTAAATAACTAGTAATTTGACTAAGGCATTTAATTTCCAAAAATATTACTTCAATTTGCTCATTTCAATGGTCACCTAACATCGTCTATTTAACTTTAAGCTAGATTCATAACAGTCTGGTAATTTCACTTCCTTCCAAATAAAAAACTGACTCTCAAAACATTTGGACCTTTTTAAGAATCCTACCAAATATAACTGTATTGCATAGTGTAAAAGCAATAGCACAATGGCACAAAAGCAGCCAACAGCCGGACACATAATTAAAAGACCCAGCGTTCATACATGTAAAACAGCTTTTCAAAAATATTATGTTTTCCAAATTTCTTGATCGATCTCATTTTTCATATCACAAAGACTGACAAATTATCAAGGGACAAATTAGTTTGCAAAATTGTCAACACTCGTAAAAATGTGATTTAAGATGGCATCCAGTAACGTCATTGGTCCATTGAGACCATTCTTTTCAACAATATAGGATATAATTCAAATTCCTTTTCCCATTCAGTAAAGGTTGACGTGTCATACTACTGACGTTATTTTCTCTTGCATTGAGCCTAATGAGTGAGAACTTCATTTATCAAATGTCCATTGTGTTTTAGAGCATACCTTTCATCATAGCAACAACATTGCTTCTGGAATACTGGACGAAAGATTTTGGTATACTTAACAGAATTTCATTGTCAGTTAGTAATTTCTATTCCGCAATGCCTAATAAGAACTGAGAATGACGTTGATAATAGCGTTGTGATATTTCTATTGCTATAATATAAGGCCTACACTGCAAATTAGTCAATATTCCAATAAACCAAAAAATATTACAATCACTTTAAAATTGATTCTTTTGAAGAATAATGTCAAAAATTAAAGGCATGACTTGCCGACACAAAATAAAAGAAGACGGTAGATTACATTCAAAAGTAAGG